GCGATGGCGCTTGGCTCCACCCTTTCGGCCGATTGGAAGGGCTCCTTTGCCGCCTGTTATGGGTGAATGTTAGCTTAGCTGCTTTTGCTGTTTGGAAGGGAAGACGCGTCTCTGCCCTAGACGAGGATTAACTTACGTCCAGTCATGTTGATATAAGAGTGGTTATTTTTAAAATAAAAAAGTTAGAGTTTGCTTAGGGGGTGGTAGTATATGGGAGAACAGAGGTAGACGCGTGGGAAGAAGTTCTTGACGTGAGAGTGTGGGGGAGAGATCGAACGGGAAGCGGAAGAGAAGTCGGGGGCTGCCGTATTTGAATGCGGCGAGAGTTGGCGGCTGCAGGGAACAGCGACGGCCGTGATCACGGCGCTAGGGGCTGATCCAGCCAATCACATCGCGCGATGACTCATCCAACTCGTGATCCCGTCCTTGCCCATATTCAGCGACAAAGCCCGCCACTGTGACTGATCTTGCGGGTAGCATTGTTCACAACATTGATCGGTTCTCAGGAGGAGGTGATTCAGAATCAATTCACCACGTCAAATAGGATACAAATATTATAATTGCGATCAGAGAGCGCTGGCGGTGGGATCAGAAGCAGAGAACAAAGCGATCTAGACAGCTGATCCTGCACGCTGATTGGCCGGGCCACCTGATTCTCGCTTAGCGCAAACTCCGAACCCTTGACCCGGCCGCCAAGACCATCAGATCAGTCTTTGTGCCCTTTTCGCCCGCAGAAAACCAGCGCCCAAATCAGCGCTTACCAAGTGCTGCTTTCCACACTCTTTTCTGATCAAATTCCAAACCCGCGCTAGTGCAACCCTTCCCCCATCCAATTTACACGGGTGAAGTGTTAGCCCCAGCGAAAACCTAAAAAGATCACTCGCCTATCACTCGCCTGGCCCGCTCGCCACTACAAATACCTTTCCCCCACCCATTCTCCTTCTTCTTCCTTACAACCTCCCCAACCTAGCCCGCCTTACCACACCTCCGTCATCTCGACCACCCAAGCATTTTTCATCAACAACTACACACTCCCATCAAATACCCGTCTCCAAATAACCTCACTAAACTATCACAATGGCCAGAACCAAGCAAACTGCCCGTAAGTTATTTTTATCCCGTTCTGACCTCACCGTCTCTATCGGTCGCGTTGTCATCACTCCACCACAACTCCAGCTCATCCCATCCACATGGATAATATATCATCCATCCATCCATACACACAATCAAACACTAACACCATCCTCTACAGGTAAATCGACCGGTGGTAAGGTCCCTCGTAAGCAGCTCGCCTCCAAGGCAGCCCGCAAAGCCGCACCATCTACTGGTGGTGTCAAGAAGCCCCACCGCTATAAGCCAGGTAAATAACATCCCAATATCAACGCGTCTTCCAGTATCAAACAGTTCGTCTGACGCGTCAATCTAAACAGGTACCGTCGCTCTTCGTGAGATCCGTCGCTACCAGAAGTCTACCGAGCTCCTCATCCGCAAACTCCCCTTCCAGCGTCTCGTCCGTGAGATCGCTCAGGACTTCAAGTCTGATCTTCGCTTCCAATCTTCCGCCATCGGTGCCCTCCAGGAGTCCGTCGAGGCTTACCTCGTCTCTCTGTTTGAGGATACCAACCTGTGTGCCATCCACGCTAAGCGTGTCACGATCCAGTCCAAGGATATCCAACTCGCTCGTCGTCTGCGTGGTGAACGGTCTTAGATGACTGGCGCTGTTTTGCTTTTTTACATTTTGTTCCATTTCATGATGAATGGTTTTTCTTGTTTGCTAAACGTGGGTGTTGAAACTTCTGTCTCTTAATGACCGGCCTGGCTTTTCTTTTTCATATGGGTTTTTAGTTTATCGGGGTTTTATTTATTAGCACATTATTAAACGTGTCATCGATCACATAAAGTGACAAACAAGTGGCGGTTGGGAATTCGGTCAAGGGCGTACTACATTATCGATTCTTTTGTTGTACATTACGTGCGCCTTTTTCTACCAGACAAATAAAATAAAGAATTTGTCGTTCAATCAATACAATACCTTTCACTCACCTCATGTGTTTCGTAATCTCGTCCTTCCGTTTTAAGGCGTGGGAAGGGAGTGATTCCCGGGCATTTCATCTATTCTTATTGTTAGGTAAGTTGCTCTTCCCAAGTTAATTTGTTATGATTGCTAGGGCACGGTCGCGTTTTGAATAGGTATCTCATCGCCCCAAACGCGGGTGTGCGATACATGCCCAGAATGCTTGATTTCCACCAAAAAGAACTAACTTTATATCTTGTCGTGTATACGTGGTAGAAGTTTTATTTATTTCCCCAATTTCAAAACCACTCCCATTTCTGCTCTCGTGGAATTTTTTATAGTAGACTAGAAAAAGGATGTCGTTTTTGCAATTAATAGATTGGGTTGGGATTATTTCACACAAACTTTGTGTGTTTGGCGGCCGCCATTGTTTTTGAAGCAGGCCGTGACCCGTCTATTATTTGGTGCTTCGCTGCCGCCTGTTGCGGATTTTACTTGGTTATGTACGGAGTACATACTTCGGCAAGTGTTCTCTGTATGTAGGTTAACGGAGGAGTTTTCTATATGTATTCGAATTTGTGGTCTTGTAACCTTGTAGGGGTGTGGAAAGAGAATATAGATGTAGATGGGTAGTTATATGTTGAGCTGGTGAGTGTGTTTCTCAAATATATATATTTATATGGTATTTAGGCAATGAAATCTATATTTATTTCTTGCGGCATGGACACACTACGAATCTCCTCACCAAATAAAAATAAAAAGTCCTCTACATTACAATGTCAATAAAAGAAATATCATTCTCTCCATGCGAAGAAAGTCCGACACTCTCTCACACTTCCCATTCACTAGAAAGCAATACTCATCCATTGCGCCGGGCGCATCTATCAATGGTACTACAAGTAAACCGACGAAGAACTGAGAAGAACCTACCCCGTCCCTCCCTCTGGACACGTTCAATTAATATAGAATCCGGGAAGATAGAAGAAGCGACTTTCCCTTTTCTTCTTGCTTCTCGGTAACCCTTTGAAAAACCTTCAATTCGAGTGCCTGGATAACAAATCCTTCCCCCGAGACAACTCCTGGCTGGCACCACATGGAATCTTGGCATTGGCCACGCCAAAGAAATCTCGTCTCGAAACGATAAAAAGTACACTTTGTATGAGAACATCGAATAAGAGATACTTTATAAAACAATCAATAGCATCACCACCATATAAGATATGAGCATTAAAGTGAAATATCAAGATTATATATACTCAAATAATATAGTTAATATAATATTTTCATATAAAAGTAACTCAATTTCTCAAATCTGAAAAATAGACTAAAATTTTAGTACAAAATTCAATTTTTCATAATAGAATAATGAAAATTTACTTTATTTTAAATATACTCTTATCATAGGATTTCTTACTATTTATTTTATCTTCATCTAGCTTTTCAAGTGTATATCTAAGATGTTGATGAAAATATTAAAGAAAATGATGTTTGTATCTTTTATATATGATTCCCATATAAAAGATACCTATTTTCATTGTTATCATTTCGGTGTTTCGGCACGAGTAAACCACCATGAAACGTGACGTCTTGGCCTCCATGGTTCAAAATCCGGAACTTTGGCTTTGGCGCGCCGCGCATCCCAAGCCCCACCCAAACCACATGCGACTTTACTCCACCTGTTTTCTTGTGCTGGCCGCGCATTCGAGGAACTTGCTCCTGACGGAAGTTTCCGCAGAAATCCGGACCACAGGTCTCGTCTGAGATCGGCTGCAGCGACGCTCTTATTTGTCACCAACCCAACCAGCTAGCGCAGAACTAGAAATTTTAGAGGGCGATCTTTGCGTCGGAGAATGGTGGCTGATTCTGGACAGGGAATTCATGCAATATCAGGGGCGAAGAAGCAGCAGCGCCCTTGGAGGTCACCATTTGGCCGCATTAGCTTACTGGCTCCAAAGCTAACGTGGGGCCTGGGGTCCCTTGGCGAAACCCGGTCCCATTTTCGTTTGTTGTTGGATCCCTTCTCGAGTGTTTGATCTTGATCTGCTCCGGTGGCTATTCACGTCCCTGAGCTCTGACACTTCAAGTGGTCAGATATTCGTGAGTATCGAACAAGCTCTGGGGAGTATCCTCAACTCTATCGCAAATCAT